CCCCTCCCCCTCCCCCTCCCTCTCCCTCTCACACTCCCCTTCACGTAGCCAGTTGCAACTTTTTGCCTGAGACAGTCCAGTCAGTTCCACTTCTGACTGGCTGACCAAAAGGGGGCCCATCCTGACAGGTGAACCAAGTTGGAGAGAAGTGGTTTTAGCCCCACCCTGGCTGTGGCCTCTCAGCCCTGTGGCTGGGTGTGGTAGCTGTTAGAGTCTCAGGTGTGAGCGGTGGGTTGCCCCATAGCTTTCTGTGGCTGACCTCCAAGCCTTTGCCCAGAAAGGGGGTCCCAGGCTCAGCTCGAAGGAGGGAGACTGAGGCCCTGGCCCCCCAGCTTTCTCAGGTTGCCTTCTCCTCTCCAGGGTCCTGGGGCACAGCACCTGGCACCCCCATTCCTGCCCTGACTGGGCATCACATCAGACCAGCTCCCGGCTTGAACGTTTTCTTCCTTTCCCCCTCCTGCTCCTTCTCCTCCTCCTCCTCTTCCTCCAGCTGGGGGAGGACCGTGATGATGCTGAGGTGGAGACCGAGTGGCTGCCATCCAAGGGGCTCCAAGTTCCTAGAAGAGAGAGGGAAAGGATCTGGTTCTGGAGGGAGCCCGCCTGAAGGGGCTTCTGAGCCGAGGGGACCTGGGAAGAGTGTGGGTGGCTCCCACCTCCTCCCAGCTGCTGGGACAGTGCCTGAGCTCTGCCTGCGCTCGGCCCGCTGGTGCGGGGGCAGCAGGGCCTGGAATGCTGCCCTCTGCATGGCCCTGCCCCCCACTTCCGCCTAGGGCATCTGGCCCACACCTGGCTTCTATTAGGAAAACCACTGCTGGCGGCCAGGGTTGGTGTGAGCTGAGGGGCCAGCTAAGGGGAGAGGCCTTCAGGGAGCTCCTTCTCCTGAGATCCTCCTTCCCCACTAGAGCGGGCCATTGCTGGGGTCAGGGAAGGATGCGCTGCCCTCTGTCCAGCCTCTGCCCTCCCTGCCCTAATGGCTGTCCCCACAGCCCGGAGGCTGGGCCGTGAGGCCTGGGGAGTTCTCCCTCCGCTGTCTTTCTTGGGCCTTGCCTCTGGCGACCTGAGTGTGGAGCAGGGGATGCTTGGGCAGCTCTCTCCTGTTCACACCCCTGCTTTGTTTTTAGATTGCATTTATGACCATTTATTACATCCCAGGCCCTTGGCACACATGACCTCCTTCCACCCTCCTGAACGTCCTGTAAAGTTGGCCCTTTGGTTGTTTCTGCTCCAAGGTCACACAGCTGAATGGCAGAGGCAGGCTCGGTCTGTCTGATTCCAGAGCCCCTCTGCCCCTCTGCCGCCCCTTCACTGCCGGAGCCTAGGTGGGGGTGGCTGAGGGCCTGAAGCCATGGGTGTGCCAGGGAAGGAGCAGCCCACAGCTGAGGGGGTGCCCAGCGAGTGGTGAGGCTTCAGCACCCTCGTCAGGGGCCGGAGGGGACCTGGGACGAGCCCTCAGACCTCTGGCCTGGGCAGGTGGACCTGTGCCTTCTGACCACCCCCGTGTTTCAGGCAGGCCTGGGGGGGCCAGCGTCTGGAGCCCAGAACTGAGCCTGGTGAGGAGGGCTGTGGGCGGGTGGTAGGGGTCTTACCACCAGAGAAGGTCCCCTCACCGGAGGAAGGAGCCCAGCCGCCCTGCCCTACACAGGAAGTGTTGCCGTGGCGACGGAGAGGGGGATTTGGCTGCACGGCAGCTGGAATGCCGGGTATGTGCCTGCTCCTGGCGCCCCTGTGCTGGGCAGGCGCTGCCTGGCCTCAGCCCTTCCTGTTCTCTTCTTGGGGCCAGGTGTAGGGGAGACATGGGGGGACTGAGGGGCTTCTCCATGAGTGGGAAGCTTTGCTGCCTATTGGGACAAAGGCTGTCCCCTGGGAGAGGGAGACCCCAAGGCCTGGCCTGCAGGCTCAGGATTACCACCAGTGGCTTCTCCTCGGCCTCCTGTGACAGGGCTGGGGCATCAGGGTAGCAGGATACCTGGGTCCCAGCTGCAGCCTCCCCCCTGCCCCAGGAGAATGCGGATCTGTGTATCTGGAGAGAGAGCTCTTCCTCCCCATGTCCCGCCGAGGTCAGCAAAGAACTTGTCATTTTTGAAAATGAACATCACTGCAATGATCTGGGGATAGAAGGGGGAGAGTGGGTCAGTAGCCACCCCTCCCCACCCATGGGGCTCACTGGCCCCTGGCCAACTAAGCTGGGTGTGCCCACAGTGGGCACACTGGGCTCAGCCTAAGCTCTTACTTTGTCCCAACTTCCTTGCTGCCCTCGGTGCCCTCAGAGACCGGAAGGCGCGGGTGGAGAGCCGTGGGGCGAACAGGACTCGCCAGCCCACGCCGCCCTGCCCAGCACTGCCTGGGCCCGGGGGACTGCTTCTGCCCCTGTGAGCTCGTCCAGGATGTTCGCTGGAAACCCGAGGTGCCTGGGGGGCAGCAGGGATCCTGGGCGCCTCCTAGTGCAGGCTCTGCTGCCTTCTAGCTGTGGCTCTGTCTCCGTGCCTGTCCTCGCCTCTGGTCCCTTTTGTGCAGATTGAGAAGGATAACAGTGGGCCCAGCCCTGAGGGGGCAGGGGGCTCAAATAGCTGACAGCTGCCCTGGTGGGAGACTTGGGGTAGATGGCTTCTTCTCTCTGGGCCTCCAGTTTCTCCATGTGTGAAATAGGAAGGTGGGAGACACAGGCCGAGGCCCAAGCTGTGCCTCTGGATGAAAATGCTCCATGGCTGCCTATGGCCCTGTAGGCATGGCACCGCCTCCCCTCCCTGGCCCTCCACCTGCCAGCTGTGTTGGCCTTGCTGCTCTCCAGGCCCTGATTCTTCACAGGTGCTGGTCCTCCCACCTGGCTCTCACCTTCAAGTCTTAACTCAGTGTCAATCCTTCAAGTCTTAACTCAGTGTCACCTTAAATCTACTTCCCTTGATTATACTCTCATGGTGCCCTGTCATCCTGCTTATTGGGGATGTGCCAGACACAGCCCTGGGCGCTCCGCCAGCGCTAGCGCTTACTCCTTGCAACAGCCTTCCAAAGTAGGTCCTATTACGATGCTCTTTTTGCAGGTAAGGAAACTGAGGCACAGAGATGTTGAGTAACTCATCTTGGGACAAGGCCGGTAGTGGCAGGGCAGGGTTTTCACCCAGGAAGTCTGACTCCAGGGCTTGTGCCCTGAACTTCCACTATACTCCTTCAGGGCACCATAATCACATATGGTGACAGTTATTTCTGTTTGGTTCACGTCTGCCTCCTGACTTTGTATTCTGAGTTTGGGGACCTTTTCTGTTTTGTTCACTGTGTCCCCAGTGCCTACCATAGTGTGCAGCTCAAATATTCCTATTATGAAAGAACAAATGAATGAGCAGCCCTGCTTCACCCAAATGTGGGCCCCCCATCTGAGATCCTAGCACAGTGCCTGGCCCGTGGGAGCCCCGTGTGTCTGTTGAGTGAATGAATGGTGTGCAGGTGCTTGCGAGCCATCTGCTTTGCTGCTTACACAGGGGATATTTGCACACCGGTGAGAGGGCGCAAGCCCACGTGACACCTCTGACTGACTCGGGTGACGAGAGCGGGACAGACCCTCGCCCTGACCCCACAGCCCCTGTTTCGTGGAGAGAAGCATATGGGACCCTGGTTCTCAGGCTCTAGCCTCGACTTCCTGTGCTGGCTGTGGCCGAGTAGGAAGGGAGCAGTGAGAAAAGCCCCTTGAACGACACGGAACTGTTTCCGATGGTCTCCCACGCTGGGGTCGGCCTCAGCGGGCTGGGGAGGGGGCGCTGGGCCAGCTCCTCACAGGCCACCTCCCTCCCTCATTCATTCCCAAGGAGATCGTGGGAAGCTTGGAGGAAGCTGGCCACAGTTTGGGGTGAGCTATTTTTGGTAACAGGGTCTTTCGTCTCAGGCTCCAGGGGCCAGGGTGACTGGGAGGGAGCTGTTTGCATTTCCTCCAGCCCCCTCGGCTCCCCCCCCCTCCGCCTGGGCCTGGGGGACGGGGCCGCCCGCCTGCAGTGTGACCTTGCTTCTCCTCCCCAGGGCCCAGAGAGCCTTCCTGCTGGCAGCTCCAGCCCTGCAGGAGGGCGAGGAGGGGCACTTCTCTGCCCTCTCTGGGGACTGGTCCCCAGAGCTTGGCAGCAGGCCCTCTCCCCTGGCCCCTGGCAGCGTCGGGAGGCAGCAGTAATACTCGTCATAATCCCTTGATTTGCACGGTTATTTGCAGCAGGCCCGCTCCTTTCACATGTAGTCGCAGTTGATCCTCGGGACAGCCCTGGGAAGTAGGCAGCCCAGGCAACGTGAGCCCTGCTCACAAGTGAGAAAAATGAGGTTCCGAGAGGGCACAGGATCCCCAGAGCCTGGGGATGGTAGCTGGCAGCTGAGTGCTTCCTCCAGGACACCTGCAGGGGCAAGGACGTGCTGCCACCCTGAGCCCCGCGCTGTGGCAGGGCAGAGCAGAGCAGCCTGACAGTCCCCTCAGGAGCAGGGAGACTGAGCCCGAGCCTGGTGGCCGGGTCGGCCCTCTGTGTGCAGAGCTGCCCTCAGCCGCGGTGGAGGCTGGGGTCCATCCAGTAGTGATAGGAGGTCTCCTCTGTCCCAGCTAGCCTCTGTGGGGACACTGACCTGGCCTCTCCTGCCCTCTGTGAGGCTCTCAGGTGGGTGGCCCACCCTAGGAGGCCCCAGTCGCTCAGCGCGGTCTCTTGTCCTCCAGAGCATACAGGCCCACGAGAGCAGCAGGGATGGTCGGCTGGTGTGGACGGGTACCCAGGAACACCTTGTGTCCACCGGCTTCAACCAGGTAGGGCTCCTGCCGGGTGAGCAGGGCACCCGCACCAAGAGGGTGGAGATGAGGCCCACTGGGAGGGGGGCTGCTGGCCAGCTCCAGGCCTGTCCATATACGGCCCTGTGTGCAGCCGGGTCTCAGAGCCCCAGGGGACCCATGGCTGCTGAAAACTGGCAGATTCCATTTGCAATAGCTAAGCCTGACCCTGGGAACTGTGGCAACCCCCCCAGGGACCAAAGTCCAGAGTCCATGGAGGGAACCGCCCCTTGTCACCTAAGGGTTCTTAAAGGGGCAGGACACAAAAACCCAAACTCTCCCTCCCTGGCATGACTCACACCCTGCCCCAGTGCCCTCCAAGCTCTGCTCTGAGGCAAGTACCCCCGCGTCACGCTGTGGCCTCAGGCACTGGGTTCCCGGGGAGCCCTGGGGGCTGAGGGACGGGCCCCTCTGAGCCCCTCTCTGTCCCCTCCCCACAGATGCGTGAGCGTGAAGTGAAGCTTTGGGACACCCGGCACTTCTCCAGCGCCCTCACCTCCCTTACCCTGGACACATCGCCCGGGTAGGAGTGGCCTCATTTTGGGATGGGCTGGGGGGCTGTTGAGGGCCCAGATGATGACTGGAGCCCAGGTCTGTGAATGAGCACCACTGGTGAGTGCCCCTGATGCGCCGTGTGGGGGTCACCTGCAGAGCGGGGGTGCTGATCCACCCAGAGCAGCCTCACCCTGGTCAGCTCCTGTCAGGGAGGGCTGATCACTAGAGTGGTCATGGGGGCCTGAGCCGGGCCTTGGGGTATTGCAGAAGAAACCTGCACTTGGCCCTGCCGGCAGAAGCCCCCTGGAGCTTCACCAGCAGGGGTGGTGATGCAGCCCCATGTGAGCAGGTAAGCCTGACTGACCCCATCCTGTGTGGCCCTAGCAGCAGAATGGGCCCTTGGTCATGGAGCAGGCTTCCAGCCTGGGGGCTCATGCTGGTGTGTTTTGGCATTTGGGGAGGGGTCTGTGACCCGGCAGACACATTGGTGGGAAACGCAGGAATGCACTTGATTTTGCTGTGGGCGTTTTTGTGAGGCGGAGGGCCGAGGAGACCCGAGGCTATGATAGCAGGGTGGACGCAGGGTGACATGGAGTGACATGGGGATAGACGGGCTGGCAGGTTGGGAGGCACAAGTGGCAGAGGGAGGCAGGCCTTGGACTCGTCGGCTCAATGAGACCTCCTCAGCCCCAGCCATACACCTGTCCCTGGTTGTCGTAGGGCAGGGGGTGACCCAGGCAACCTAGGAGTACAAGTGTGCCTCATCCTTCCATCCTTCCCAGAAGTGTGTGCAGGAAGGTTTGTGGCAGTGCCTCTGGGGTCTGGGCCAAGCCAGCTCTGTGCAGGGATGGCCCAGGCTCACTGCAGCTCAGGCACCAGGAGGCCCACAGCAATGACCACCCATGTCACAGCTGAGGAGGGTGGGGGACCACCCTGGCTGGGGTAGGAGAAGGCGGGGACCTGGTCCCCGTTCTGAAGCCTAAGCCCTGCTCAGCTGTGACTCTCAGAGGAGCTTGCTGGGACCTCACCCTTCCCTCCCCACCAACCAGTCAGGCATCTGTGAAGGTCAGAGCCAGGAGGGGGCGTTGGTCCGTGGCTATCTATTCAGACCCTTTCTCTTCCATTTCACAATTGGGGAAACTAAGTCACAGAGGGCGCAGTGACCTGTTTAAGCCCTGGGAGCAGCGAGGGCCATGTCTGGTGTGGGGAAGGCCGAGTGCCATAAGAGGTCCTGCCAGGGTGTCCCCCAGCTGAGAGCTCTCGGAGAAGGGGTACCTTTCAGGGTGGCAGTGATCCTCCGCTGCCATCCTCTCTCACAGCCCAGGGGGAGGCTGAGGAGCTGGCGACGCCCGTTTTGCAGATGAGGAAGGCAAGGCTGAGGGAGATCCAGTGCTTTCCTCAGAACCACACAGTGGGTGCGAGGCTTCTGCCTGCTTCTGGGCCCTGGAGATTCAGGGGGAAGTCACCAGGACCCCCTGTGCTGGAGGAATCAGAGCTCTTGGGCCTCTTGGCTCCATGTCCAGCACCCCATCTCCGGGCCCTGATGCTGCGCTGGTATCTCATCCTCCACGTGTCCCCAGGCCAGACAGCCCCTTCTCTACAGGGGCCCCCAGCAGAGGGAGGGCGCTGGCCCAGCCTAGAAAAGGACCCAGCACTAGCCATCAAGTGCTCCTCCACCTACCACTTCCTGCCTTCCAGGCTCCGCCCTGGTCTGTGATGGGTCCCCCTCTCCCGTGGAGCAGCCTGTGCCCAGCCCTAGCGTGGCCCCTGGAGGAGTTAACGATGCCCAGACCCCACGGTGCCACTGGCCAAGGCTGACCCTGTAATTATAGCAGTTAAGAATAGCCTCTCAGAGCCAGCAAGGCCTGGAATTTTTCAAATCACTCCCAGATGGGCGGCCAGGCCAGTGTCCCGCCCCCTCCGGCCCCTGCCCCACCAGGCCCACACCCTTGGCAGAGGAGTGGGGACTCTCTGGTCCTCTTCAAAGCTGGTGGATACCAGGGATGCATGCCAGCCTCCAGTCTGGCCTGAGAGGTGGCAGATTCCCTGCCCCCACCAGGCTCCCTGGAATCTAGAAACCCCCACTGGCTCCCTGGGGTGTCGGGGGCTGTTGAGTGAACTGGACTGAAGATGAAAGTGTGCGGGGTGCCATGGGTCTCCACCGCAGCCGCCTCACTGTTTTCCCTATTTTACAAATTTTCCATCTCAATTCGGGCAGAACAGTGTGTGCTCTTATAAGAGCTAGAGGGGGTCAGAGGTCAGGCACATGCCCCTCCCTGTTTTCTCCCAGGGAGAACCAGGGCCCCCACTCTGTCACAGCGCCCACCTGTGGCCTCCTCCCTGCTAATCCCTGTCATTTGTGCAGTGCACCTCACTGAGGGAAGATGAGCCGTGGTGGGAAGAACAGGGCATTGGGGTCGTAGCCCAGGGTGAAAAGCTAGGCTCAGGCGGAGGTCCGCTGATGGCCCCCCCGCACTGCCTGTGCTCAGCGCAGGGTGGAGATGTAGGGTACTGGCGGGGTAGGCGCTCAAGGAGCAGCTCATGCTCCAGTCTGAGACACTGAAACACCACCTGTCTCAGGTGTGGGGCTTCTGGGCTGGGTGAGTGGTCAACTGTGTTGGCCCTGGACTGCAGGAAGATGGGAATTTTCTCCCCAGGCAGCTGAGGCTAGAAAAGTTGATCCGCTGTTGAGGTCACCCCAGCAGCAAACCTGTGCAGGGTGGAGGTTGGGATCCCGTCTTTGCTTCCTGACACTGAAATGTCCACCTCTAGCCAGACCCCCAACCCCAGGCCCAGCTGTCAGCCAAAGCATGGGCCACATACCCCAGCATGTTCCCTGGAGATTGGGAGCTGCCCTGCGGTAGCTTCTGCTGTTCACAGTGGCCCCACCCCTCTTCTGGAGACCCAAGCCCTCCCCCAAGGCTTGCAACCCCCTCCTGGGCCAGGGAGTTGGGATCCTGTCCCTGCCTTCAGTGAGCAGGCCGCTGTCTCTCCTCTCCCAGCCTGCGATTCTCTTCTGTAGAGAGATGGTTGGGCCTGAAATGGAAGCATGTGCGGCACAGGGCCTGTGGCGGTGAGGACCCGGCAATCGGGGGCTGGCATTCCTCCACCACCACCCCCCGGCCCCTGGCCTGCAGCCGTTGGGATTGCCCTGCGTAGGGGCTGCATCTTGGCTTGGTCCCCGACTCAGCCCCTGGCCCTCCCTTCATCCCCTGGCCCCTGATCTGATAGTGCACCCCAAATACCTTTTCTGCGAGGGCTGGTGTGAGCGTCCAGCCCCCTTTCTTTGGGTCCCGCCACCCCACCCCACCCCACCCCGTGCCGTCCCACTAGGCCAGGTTTGGCTTTGCACCGAAAACGTTTATTCAGCAGCCTCTGTGTTCGGCAGCCGCCACAGGTCCACAATGGCCCCTTTGATGGGGCAGCAAGGGGGAGGGCAGGCCTCGCCATAGCCGCTCCCCTAATGGGACCCAGGCCCACAGGAAATCCACCTGGGCTGCTGCCGCTGCTGCTGCCTCAGGAAGAAGGGGCCCCACCCAGGCCCACTGCCACCACCCTCTGCCCGCAGTGACCCACCGCCTGCCTCCTCCCTTCTAGTGCCAGAATCCTCAGCAGCCGCTAATTGAATCCAGAGCCTCGCGTGGCCGGGCCTGACTCGGCGCTGACATCAACTCCTCGAGCCGCAGGGCCTGCTCCCCAGGTCTGGCTGGGCTGCCTCCTTCCCACCAGGGTGAGGCTGGGGGCCAGGGGCCGTGCCCCACAGAGGGATGTGGGCATGGGGCCTTGGGGAGGCTCGCTCCAGCCTTTGCAGGGCCTCTCTGAGGTCCCAGGGCTCCCCTCCCCTCCCTCCCCAAGGGTCATAGGAAGAGGTGCTATGTATCCGTCACTGTCCCCAAGCTCCCAGCACCTCGGTTCAGGCCGGAGCTGCACTCAGCATCCCTGGCCCTGCCCCCACCTTGGCCTGTGGCCTTCCTGGAAAATACTCCCACTTCCCGGGTTTCTGGAAAGACTGGGCACATCCCAAGTGCAGAGAGTAAAGGGGCATCACAGGGCCCCAGGCCTCTTAAGCTGGCCCCAGACCTTTGGTCCTGTTGCCAGGCCCCCTAACAGCCCCAGCTCGGCCCCTCCCTCCCTACCCACAGAGGCTTCCTGCTGTTCAAGATCCGTGTGCCCCTCCACCAAGGCCCCTTCTCTGCAGCTGGAGCAGGAGGCCAGGAGGAAGGTTTCCCAGCCTGAGCCCAAGTGGAGGGGCAACAGGACTGCAGGGAGGGCTGGGGTGGTCGTGCCGCCTGGTCCAGGACCATCCACGAGGCACCCCCTTCACAGAGGAAGGCAGGCGGTGAACTGCCTGCCAGACCTGTCCCTGAGGAGGGACCCTCTGGGACCCTCCTGGCCTGCGTCTGCTGTGAGCCCCCCAGCCTCTCATAGGAGCACTGAGCTCCAGGTGGCAGAAGACCGGGCCTGGGTAGGGTAAGGCTACCCCAGGTTGGAAGTGGCCCAGCTCTCATCCCTGCTCCTACGTGGGAGGCTGGACTGGGCACCTCAGTGGAGGCTGGGTGGACACAGCCCAGGGCAGGACACCTAGGAGGGCTACCCTTCTTGGCATGGCCCGCAGTAACAGCCCTCCCGAGCCCAGGGGATGCTGACCAGGGCCCAGTGCCCAGTGCCCACTGGGGTCCTGGCCCCCACCTTCCCCACAGAGAGGGCTGTCCCTTTATGCCCAGCCTGCACCCTCACTCTCCCTCCATCCAGCCCAGTTACCTGGGGCAGTTGCAGAAAAACACACTCATTTTATCTTTTATTTTTCTTACAAAAGGCCTTCATATCATCGTTTGTCTTACAAAAACCACAGTCCTTGTCTCTGAGTTTGAAAAACATTTTCCCAGAATAAATGGGAAAGATTTCTTATAAATATATTTTAACAAAAGCAAAACTTGTTCCTGAAGCATCTTTCTTTCCAGTTTCTTTTGTTCCTTCGCTCCCTGGGGCTGAGGCTGGGGTCACATGCCCCGTTCCCAGCCCCACTCT